GTATTTTCCTCGGAGGGCACGTTTTGTATAGGCACAGGCAGGGCTGAGCAAGTGTGGGGGTGGGGAGCTGCACAGCACTTGACTGGAGGTCAGTGACAAAGTGCCTTCCTCTTCTTGAGAACATTGCTGGGCCTTCTTATTCATTTCCTCATTCATTAACATTGCCTACTTTACGTGCCAGGCATTCCCTAGATGTGGAGGAAGACATCATCCCTTCCCTAAATGAATTCACAGCCTTATGGGAGAGACAGATATGTGAGCAAATGATTACAATGCAATATGATTAATGCTAGAGGAAGGGGTGCCCAGGGATTCAGGCAAGGCTTTAAAAAGAGAGTAGACATTTGAATTGTGCTTTGAAGGACAAAAAATAAGTCGTTCACCTAGAAATGGGAAGCAGGATTATATGAGGAAGAGAAGATGCAATAAGCAAAGACATCAGATGGTCCTATGAGGAAAGGCTGCATGCGGGACATGACAGGAGAGGTGTTTGGTGGGGGGCCACCTTGCAAGAGGATTTCTGTGCCACACCAAAGAGCTTGAAATTTATCAACCTCAAAGATAGAGAACCATGACTTTTAAGTACTGGAATGGCACAATGATGAGATTTGTGTGTCTGAAATCAGTTAAGAAGGGTAGAAGCTAGGGGGCTGTTTAGCCTAGTGCAAAGGCCCAAGTAAGAAATGATGACTGGAAAGGAGGCTCCAGCAGTGGGCATGGGGAGCATAAAGTGGGGAGAGCTGACATCACTTACTACTTCAAAGTTGGTGGGGATGGTGGTAAGAGAAGAAGAGGGATACTTGCAAATCTGGTGATGTTGTACTATAGTAAGTTAGGAAACAGATGAAGGGAGTTCTTTGAGGTGAACGATGGGAACACTGAACATGGGTTGAGTTGTCAGCTCTTTGGGTTTGAGGTAGGCTGGAGGATACAAAAGTAATAAAAGTGCTTTCCAGTAAGTTTCATCTGGTACTTCAGCTTTTAAGATTCTCACCATGAACTTAGAACAAATTAGGTAACTGTGGGGATAGCCAAAGCCATTAGAGACAGGCCTTCTCCACTTGGGAAATCCTTTCCTAGTTCTTTTCTTAAACCACACATCGCCTTAGGTAATTGCTTGTCTGCCTTCCCTGCTAGAATATAAGCTCTTGAGTGTAGAGAAGTATGTTCCTGGCACATAATAGACAATAAATATTTGATAAATGAATGAATTTAATTCCTTTGGGTTTAGTTTTCTCAAATAAGAAATGGACTAATAACACGGCCTTTGTCTATTCCATAGGGGTTAAGAGGAACAAATATAGAAATCCTTTAACACTGTGCATTTTCTATTTTATTACTATTTTACTATTAATATTCTACCCCACCAGTGAGGAGAAAGGAGTGGGATATGTGACTATGGATTGGGAGAAACCAAATCCAGAAATAAAAGCTAGTTTGTGTCTCTGCAGAAATAGAGGAAATAGCCATGGTATCCTTCCTCCATATGATTTTAAAAATGATTTTTTTTTTTTTTGGAGGGACCTAAATTTTGTCTCAGCAAATGGAAATAGAGCTGGCCATGACTAGAAAGTCACATAGAAAGTGGATTATTTAGAATTGGGCTATAGGAATACAGGATTGAAGACTACTTCTTTACATGCTATGGAGTATTGGTTTAAGTTATCTTAGTTTCGGGTTCTTTGACTGATGATAAACATTCAAATAAGGCAATTTACTAGGAGTAACTTACAGTCTCCAAGAGCAAGAGGTAAAACCGAATCTCATGAGAGGTGGGTACAAGGCACTGGAAGTTGAGAACCAAAACTACCCTTCCTCTCTGCGTGTCTTATTTACACTTCTCTCTGCACATCTGTTTCTTTCCCCCTTTTAAAGTAGGCTCTTCATCAGTGAACACTTGGTGGAAAATGGCTTCCTCAGCCCTCAAATATCCTTAGTTAGTGCTGGCTCCTGATTGACTTCCCATCTTAGTCCCAGTTCTAAAGTCCTAGGAGAGAAAAATCTTACTGGCCTAACTTGGTCCAGGACTCCACTTTTGGACTGGTCAGCTGTGGCAAGGAGAGGCAGGATCATGCAGGTAACGTGAGCCTGGAGGCTGGGCCCACCCTTGGCAGAACTCTGAGTGATGGGAATTCTTAGAGAAAAGGCAGTAGGCTAGGCTGGTGGACGTATCACATGACTTGGCAATGATAGGACAGATGCTTTCAATGAAATCCATTTCAGCTGCACTATGCAACATCACTTTGTAGTTTTGCAACCCAGGCTGCACATCAGAAGTGCCAGGAAAGCCTTTTAAACATACAGATTCTTAGAATCTCCTTTTCCCACCAGTGAATCAGAATCTCTAGGGGTAGGGCCCAGAAATCAGCATTTTTATGAAGTACCACAGAAGATTATGATGTGACTGGCATTTCAGAACCCCTGATTCCAAAGACAGACTGAGAATCCCAAATAAATATATCAATAGAAAAGGGAAATTACTCATAAATATAGAACATTCTTACATACACTAAACAGGGAGGTTCCTTTTGGAGAGCATATATTTTCTTCAAAATATAGTTTTATTTTCTGTGGTTATAAAAATCAGGAACGCTTATTATTTTTTTAAAAATCTGCATTTTGACATGCTAGCTTTCTAGGCTTTTTTGTTTGCCTAAGTGTACATGTATAGCTTTTGTTTAAAAAAAATGAGATCACAGAATATATGCCTACTTTGTAGTTGTGTTCACTTAAAAATAGACCATATTGTAATTAAGGTAAGTCTACTCAATTTTCAGTGGTTGTACAACATTGCAATTTATGGATATATTTAATTCTCCACTGTTGGATATTTTTCCCTCCTTGAAAATGTCCAATAAGTGGAATTGTTGGAACAAAGTTTATGAACATTTTTAAGGCTTTTGATACATATTATCAAATAGTTATCTGCCCTTCTCTCCAAGTTTCTACCAGTTTATAATTCCCCAAAAAGCTTTTGATAGTACTTGTTTCTCCACACCTGCAATGTCTGCCTAGGATTTCAATTTCATTCTATTCAAATTGTACATACCCCTTTACAATAAAACTTGTTCCTTAAATTGAATACATGGTTACAATACAGACCTTTTGTGCAGTAAGTCAAAGAGCTGATAACCTGTATAGATAAATAAAAGGGAGGGAACTAAGAAGACTGCATTGTTCTATAGATGGTTTAAAAAATGTATTGAAGGTCTATTACAGGGAGAGTGACTAGAGATAACCATAAAATCTTATTTAAGTATATTAAGTAGTCTTGTAATGGAAATTTGGTTTACAAGCTAATTAAATTAGCAGAGAGGTAGAGAGGAAGAGAACACTTGAAGTATTCCTGTCTTAGACGAACAGATATGCTGATTTCTGGGGTTTAAAAGGGCATGGTAGAGCACATGAGATGCCACTGCACACCCCCTAGGATGGCTAAAATAAGAAAGACAATAACAGGTGTTGGCAAAGATGTGGAGAATTGGAATACTCACACACTGCTGGTGGGATTTCCACTTTGGAAAGTACTTCGGCAGTTTTTCAACAAGTTAAATACAGAGTTACCATATTACCCAGAAATTCCACTCCTAGGTATATACTCAAAATAATAAAAATCCCAAGTCCACACAAAAGCTTGTACATGAATGTTCAAAGCAGCATTAATCATAACTTCCAAAAAGTAGAAACCCAAATGTCCATCAACTGATGAATAAATAAAAATGTGGTATAATTATACACTGGAATATTATTCATCTACGCTACAACAGGAACCTCGAAAATATTATGCTAAGTAAAAGAAGTACAGACACAAAAGGTCACATATTGTAGGATTCCATTTATATGAGACGTCTAGAACAGGCAAATTTATAGAGACAAAATAGATTAGTAACTGCTAGGAACCCAAGAGAAAGGGGAAATGGGAAGTGACTGCCAATCAGCACGGGCTTTCTTCTTAGGGTGATGAAAATGTTCTGGAATTAGTGGTGATGGTTACATAAATCTGAATATATTAAAAACCACTGAATTGTATACTTTAAAAGGGTGACTTTTATGGTGTATGAGTTATATTTAAAATTTTTTGGTAGAGGCACAGAATAGTTTCATAGCACCCGGGCATGGGAATAAGCATGTAAATGAAGAAATAGAGGGACCAGATTCTAAGAAGGACTTGAGGCTGTTGGGAGTAAATTAGATGTCTCCTACACCGTAATATAGGGTTGTCACATAAGTTTATTCCCCTTTAAGAAGCCCAAACTGGAGACCCTAAATACTCTAGTAACTTTGTGGTCTGTTTTGGTACAGGCCTCTTTGGAGGCAGGGTTGCTGAATTCACATTAACATCTACATAATGGACTCTAGTGGGAACCATGCCATCAGCTTCCCAGCTCCCAACTCCCCCCTGTGCAGAATCTCCCCTGTACAGAAAGAAGCACTTCCTCCTCGTTTGGTAGTAACTGCTACAAGAACCTTGCCACTTTCTTCCAGGGAGGTAGGTTACTTTCAGGGTACTTTGGAGTGGGCAAAATGATAAACCCGTCAGAGATGGCTTTTACAATTAGCATTTTCTGCTCATGAAGTAGGATTTATTACAACTAAGTGTATGTTTTATTAAAAGGCAGTTCTAGATTCAGATAATTAATACATTGTGGAAAAAAAACAGACTATCTCCCAGTTCTCTCTCTGCCTGGCTTTCAAGTCCTCATATAATGAGCTCCCATGTTACTTACCCCATCTTAGCACCTATTTTGCCCATTCAGTGTTTCTACTAGTCACTTTAGGCTCCCAACCCTCTGGCTCCTGGTATCACCTCCACCCTTCCACGCTCCCTCCCAATCTTACCTATCCTGCTATGTTTAGCTCCAATCCCAGGAAAAGAACCCAAGTACTTAGATTTGAATGCTATTGTGCTATGTATGAAAGGTTTTTTCCCCCTCTTTTTAAGCCTCATGCACATAGATAAATAATCATAAGGTGATCACATGTCAGCTTCTGTTGGTTGCTGGAATTAGTACAACAAAGCTCTCAATCAGTTTTATTTCTCTCACCACAATGGGAGGGAGGAAAAATACAGAAATGACTGGTAGGATCATTTGCTAGTAAAAAGGGGGGGCTGGGATTCCACATTCATTTTGGAAACTGACTAGAAAGAACTGTTCTCCTCACTCATGCTCCAGCAGAATGTGGCCCAAGGGAGTGGGGAGAAGCCAGATGAAATCCTTAGCCAGCAGTTTTCTGTTCCCAACAGTCAGCTCCTCTTAAGTCCAGAGGGCATCTATTCCCAAGTTCATCCAGAGGACAGCAGGAACATGTTCCTTTCTATGCTGGGTCTAACTGTGCCTGTGAGCAGGTGGATGAAGATCTTGCAAAACTTTAGTGAGGCATAACACAACCTGAAGGGCTGCAGGAAGGGCTCTTTGTGTTCTTCCTAGCTTGAGAAGAACCTAATGTGTACTTGGTGGTCTGCAGAGTCCTAAGCAGACAGCCATGACAAAGAAGATATTTTTATTGCTTTTCGAAAAATCCCTTCTTTCACATACAAACATTCCTTCAGTTAGGTCCTCTGTTATCTTAAAATACTCTCCTCTGGTCACGAGCAGGTATGGACCTATTTAGCCAAGATAAGTAGGCTGTCTCAGAACTTCCCATAGGGAAAATTAAAATCTGATTCTTCTTGTTTCACTTGGTTTCTAGCTTGAGAACTCCAAGTACTAAGAGACACAGGATAAGGATGGGAGAAGCTGAGCCTTTCTGAGAGTCTACTCCTTTGCTGAATGCCACTTTGAAGGGAAAAAAGAAGTCGAATGGCAGTTTCCAGTCTATTCGGTGTTGGCCCCTTGGAGGATCCGGCTTCTGGGTAATGTCCACAAAGGTCACAACAGTTGTCAAAGGTATTTCTGTTACTTGTTGGAAATCCTGCAGGAAGAAAGTCCATGACAGGTCAGTGCTTGGTACCCATTCATATAGCTCTCTACCTTGACTGTGATTATTACTTTCCCTGAAAAAAGACCAAAACCAAATTGCTCTAAGCAGGATATGCCTTTTTCTCATATTGGTCCTATGTAGTTCTCATTCTGTGATACACAGAAAATGAATTTCTTAGCAGCAGTCCATGACACTAGAACTGTGAACAGTTACACCTACCTAAAGCTGAAAGACTGACTCTAGCTTCCCCCAAATGGGGAGTTGGCTGATATCAGAGAGGCCAGATGGGGAAACTGTGCTGTTATGTGCTTAGCAGCTTTACCTTATCAAGTCCCAGAAGGCTCCAGGCTCTGAAGCAGCACACATGTGCAAGCAGTAATGGCAATTCTATTCCATTTTCAATTGCAGAAAGAAATGTGAAACTTCATGGAAAAACAAAGAACTCCGTAATGTAGATAAAATTTAAGCCCATCAGATTCACAGAATCTCGGGGTTAGAAAGGGTTGAGAGGTCAACCACCCAATTCAAGTCAAATGAAACATGCTCTGGGAAGAAGGGACCTCGTCAAGCTGACTCAAGTATCTGATCTAATAATATGCATAGCTTTTGGTAGGTACAGTTGTAGCCTGATGACTGAGACAAGTTTATGTAAAATAAATTCCTTTTGTTCTGACTCTGTGCTTACCAATCAGACTTCTGATTATAATTTGACAGTAAATAACATCTTGTTGAACCATAAAGGAGTATTTTCTCCACTCAGCTTTGTTTACCCTGATGCTATATACTATCTGCTGTGGTCTTTGGCAACAACAAATACCAGGCTCTGGGAACACAACTTTGCCTGGAATAACCTTTCTAGGTACTTAAAAAAATGGGTATGGGGCCAGTGCTGTGATAATCTTGCATGTCATATTAACTCTTTGGAATCTTTTTTTTTTTAAAACAGTGACATTCCTGAGGGACTTGGCACAGAAGTAATGTAACTTCTGAGGCACTGAAAGAACCACATGCATTCCAGGACAGCCTGCTTAGGCGAAGGCTGAAAAGGCAACCTTGACTCCAGCCAGGCATGGAAGATTGGCTGAGACTAACCAGACAAAGAAAATGGGGAGGACAGGCTATAACATGGTGGCAGGCATGAGGTAGGGACAGAAAGTGCTTACTGAATGATACCCCCTCAGTGTGATCAGGCAACTACCCCTTCCCCACCTCAACAAGAGATTGGACAATTTAAATAAGAGAAATTCTGGATTTAGGGACATTGGGCATAAAGAAGGGCAGAGTGATGTATGGAACTAAAAATAGGAAAATTATTCTGTATAATGAAATCTGTTCCCTCATCTAGCTCCAAAATGCTGACAGATGGCCTTATATCCATACCCATCAGTCAGGAATCAGGAGGGTCTTTTCTGGAGAAAATGATGAGTTTCAGCAACAAGTTCCATAACCCCAAAAGCAACTGCACCTAACTGCCCTACTATGAAGGCCACCAGTCAGCAAGTCTCATTCATGAGCACAGAGCTTTCAATTAGCTTAACAGCTTACTCTTATGTTGGACAGACAGCTAGGGACTGCCAGATGTATGGGGGAAGCTTCTCACATTAAAGAGAAAAACTGGGGCGCCTGGGTGGCTCAGTTGGTTAAGTGACTGCCTTCGGCTCAGGTCATGATCCTGGAGTCCCGGGATTGAGTCCCACATCAGGCTCCCTGCTCAGCAGGGAGTCTGCTTCTCCCTCTGACCCTCTTCCCTCTCGTGCTCTCTATCTCTCATTCTCTCTCTCTCTCAAATAAATAAAATCTTTAAAAAAAAAAAAAAGAGAAAAACTGTACCAAGTGAGCAGAATAAATAAGCTCAGAAGAAACAGAGAAGGAAAGAAAGATGAAAAGTTAAGATCTTTATTTTTTATTTTATTTTTTTAAAGTTTTATTTATTTTAGTAATCTCTACACCCAAGGTGGGGCTTGAACTCAAGACCCCGAGATCAAGAGTCATAAGCTCTTCTGACTGAGCCAGCCAGGTGCCCCATATAAAAAAGGATATTATGAAATGAAATAGAAAATAAGAGCTCTGAGATTTTAAAAATGGATAGTCAGAAAAAATCAGTAAAAAGGTTAAAAAAGAAAGGTGAGGAACTCTTCTAGAAAGAACAAAAAGGTAAAGAGATAGACAAAATGAGAGAAAAGAAATTAGAGAACCAATCCAGTGACCCTGTAACAGATTAACAAGAGTTACAAAAAGAACAGAGAAAATTGTGTGTGTGTGTGTGTGTGATTATTAAACAAATAATAAGAACTGAAAATTCTCAGAGGTGTCAGAGTAAAAAAAAATCCCCCAAATTGTTTGGTATAATGAAAAAAATAATGCAGAAAAAAACCTACCCAAGGCATAATATTGCAGAAGCTTCAGACTCCTAGGAGCAAAAGATCTTAAAATAGCTTCTGAACAGGGCGCCTGGGTGGCTCAGATGGTTAAGCGTCTGCTTTCGGCTCAGGTCATGATCCCAGGGTCCTGGGATGGAGCCCTGCATCAGGCTCTCTGCTCAGCGGGGAGGCTGCTTCTCCCTCTGCCTCTGCCTCTCTCTCTCACTCCCTGTCTCTCATGAATAAATAAATAAATAAAATCTTTAAAAAAAAATAGCTTCTGAATATTGAAAACTAGAAGACAATGGAAGAATGCCTTCAAATTGTGAGTGAAAATCATTTCCAATTTAGAATTCAATCTAGAATGCCTGGTCAAATGATCAATCATAATTGATATGATGACAATGATGATGGTTGAATAAAGCTATCCTTAGACATGTGAACTAAAGTAAAAATGTACTTTACATGTGCCTTCTTTTCAAAGAGGGTATTAGATTTTGAGCTCCATCAAAACAAGAGAGTCAACCAAGAAGGAAAAAGTAGTGTCTAGCAAAGAGTGAATCTAACAGAAGAAACAAAAGGAATTCCTAGGATGACAGGAAAGTTCCATAACAACTGGTGGGCAATACATAGTTTATACTACACCAGGTAATGGAGGTCACTATGAGGAAAATACATAGGAAAAAGTAGAATTGATAATATCTCATAGCAAGTTCAACTGTTTAGAAAACTGCAATGAGAGAAATTTTAGAGATGTTGGAGAGGGTGAGACGTCTTAGCCCTTAGCTCAAAGAAAACTAAAGAAATGAAATATGAGGTAATTATTAATTTCAGAAATGAAAAATTTTGCAAAAATTTAATGACCTGGCTTAGCATAATTATATAATCATAATAATGAAACACTGAATATTGATTTAATATTTTGATGTAACTATATTGGGAGAGTGGTGGGAGGAGAGAAACAGGCTAAACTCATCTACTAAAATAGGAAGTCAATAAATAACCTATAAACTCATGATTCAAGAGATAACTGTTCAATATTGCTTAGACTCAAGGCGATAGGGGATATCGCGTATTTGTTAAGAGATCCTCTTTTCTGGTATTTTTTACTTTAAAAAACATATGTATGATTTTGATAAATTATGCAATTATTAATTAATCTGATAAATAATACCATTATCTAGCATTAGTTAAATCTGTAGGGGAACTCTGAAATATAAGGTAGGTTTCACAGTCCCAACAAGTTGTGTTGTCCTAACCCAAAGCAAGGGGGTTGGGCTTTTCTATTCCTGCATCCTTCAGGCATTGGTTAAGGGCCATTTGGGAAGAGGTATATTTCCAGGCACTTTACAGGCAAAGTGGGTTCTGGTAGGGTGAAGGCAGTCTTCCACAAAAGACATAACAAAACAAAACAGAAAGGGGAAGAAAACCTCAGGCATACCCACCAAATTAAAAAAAAGGAGAGGGTGAAAAACAGAAAGGTAACTGCAAAAAGCAAAATTACAGTTGGTAGTCAACAGGGTATCTATCACGTGTAGGATATAAAATAAATGAATGAAATGCCCAAACTGAAAACCTATCTATTATCCTTGACTCATTCTCTCTCAACTTCCACAGCCTAGCAGTCAGGTCCTATCTGTGACACCCCTAAATATCCTGAACCCTGTCTACTTCCTGCAGCCCTCACAGCCCCCACCTGGGCCCAGGCTATCCGTATCTCCTGATGATTTCTCTAACAGTGTTCTAAATTTTACCTCAGTATTGCCCTATACCTTCCATAAGGGCAAGGATGATGTCTATCTTGTTTACCATGCATCATACCTAGAGCATCCACCATAGTACTTGGCACAAAATAGGCACTCAATAAATTTTTTTTTTTTTTTTGACAAATGAGTAGAGGTATTTTTGGAGATAGGGCACTAATACAAAGTAGCAAGAGATAATACAACACAAGGAAGAAAGTATGCCACAGCTATTTATTTTTTTGAAAATATTCTACTTATTTGAGAGAGAGAGAGAGCAAGCGAGGATGAGCAGAGAGGAGGGGCAGAGGGAGAAGCAGACTCCCCACAGAGTGGGGAGCCCAATGTGGGACTTCTTTGTAGGAGCCTGGTATCACGAGCTGAGCTGAAGGCAGGTGCTTAACCCACTGAACCACCCAGGCGCCCTGCCATAGCTATTTAATAGTCAGCAATTACAGATCACTTTGACCCGTTATTCTCCCCACAACACTGTAATTAGGATCCCTAAAGGTTGTTCTTCCTTCCTTCCTTATTTATAAATTAGTATTTCAAATGAAATGCTTTTTCTTCATATATTAAAATATTGCCTCCATAGTTGTGTGGAGGTTTAGAACAAATACAATCTAGTAGACAGTCCACAATTAAAAGGAAGCTGCGGGGCGCCTGGGTGTCTCAGTCCTTGTGTCTCTTCGGCTCAGGTCATGATCCCAGGGTCCTGGGATTGGGCCTGCATCGGGCTCCCTGCTCAGCGGGGAGCCTGCTTCTCCCTCTCCCTCTGCCTGCAGCTCCCCCTGCTTGTGTTCCCTCTTTCACTGTGTCTCTCTCTGTCAAATAAATAAAGAAAATCTTTAAAAAAAAAAAAAGGAACTTGAATGCACTTGCCAGGTCG